TCACAAAGACTAAAATCAATTATAACTCATTTTACATATTTACAAAAACTAAAACATATTTAAGTTTTCCATAAAACATATTTTTTTATTCTGATCAAATTGAAGTTTGACAGTAAAACGAATTTTACTTAAATAATCAAACATTTGCATTTTCATTAAAATCATATTTAATAAGATACAAAATCAACTAAAATACTTTTCACTAGACACTTGCTTAAAACCACAAACGCCGTTGTATAATGTGGAAACCGGACTCATGATATGCAGAGAGGGATAATAGTTGAACACAAGTTACAGCAATACTCAAAAAAAAAGAAGGAAAATGTGTATTGAATATTCTTTTACATATTGATATATTTTATGATAGAAGAAATCGTAGTAGATAGGAGGAATTGAAAAAGAAAAAAAATGACAAATATAATATATAGTGTAGTAAAGAAATTAAAGAGATACTTAGAGAGTTATGTGAAATTAGATTTTTTTTTCCTCAAATTTCCCAAATCAATTAATATGAATATGATTAATGAAAAAAGAATCTCGAGTTTTCTCTCATACCGAGATAATATTTGATCAATACTCTGGTTCCCTCGATTCTCATATTCGTTTTGCTTTTTGTTTTCATCAAGTTGTTTCTAATCGAAAAATTGGAGAACCAGAAAAAACTATGTTGATATTCTAACAAATTCTTCCGATTCCAACAATCCTCACCGAAACAAAAGCCCTTGATTGATTCTTGTTTCACCAACACCGATGGACAAAAACAAGAATGTGGATTGCAGCAATAATCATCCTTCTATCTCAGATTGAACTTGTTGGATCGAGCGCTTACCACTAGGCCAAAAGCTATAGCTAATAGTCAAGACGCAACTCTTTTTACTTAAGAGCGCAGCAGCCCAAGCGCCATGATTCGACAGTGACTTGGCCCACCTAGCCTCCGCCATGGGACAATTGATGCACCCCGCAACAATCTCCCCCTCAGCAATTGCTCCGCTGGGTATCGAACTCATGACCTTGGCTCTGATACCAATTGTTGGATCGAGCGCTTACCACTAGGCCAAAAGTTATAACTAATAGTCAAGGCGCAACTCTTTTTACTTAAGAGCGCAGCAGCCCAAGCGCCATGATTCGACAGTGACTTGGCCCACCTAGCCTCCGCCATGGGACAATTGATGCAACCCGCAATAGAGTATAAATAACTCGAAGACCAAACTTGTGATTAATCGGTAAAAATCCGACTGGGCGAGTATAAATAACTCGAAGACAAACTCGTGATTGATCGGTAAAATTCCGACTAGGCTATAAATAACTTAAAGACCAAACTCGTGATTGATCGGTAAAAATCCGACTGGACGAGTATAAATAACTCGAAGACCAAACTCGTGATTGATCGGTAAAAATCCGACTGGGCGAGTATAAATAACTCGAAGACAAACTCGTGATTGATCGGTAAAATTCTGACTAGGCGAGTATAAATAACTCGAAGACCAAACTCATGATTGATCGATAAAAATCCGACTGGGGAGTATAAATAACTCGAACACAAACTCGTGATTGATCGGTAAAATTCTGACTAGGCGAGTATAAATAACTCGAAGACCAAACTCGTGATTGATCGATAAAAATCCGACTGGGGAGTATAAATAACTCGAACACAAACTCGTGATTGATCGGTAAAATTCCGACTAGCCGAGTATAAATAACTCGAAGTCCAAACTCGTGATTGATTAGTAAAAATCCGACTGGACGAGTATAAATAACTCGAAGACCAAACTCGTGATTGATCGGTAAAAATCTAACTGGGCGAGTATAAATAACTCGAAGACCAAACTCGTGATTGATCGGTAAAAATCCGATGGGCGAGTATAAATAACTCGAAGACCAAACTCGTGATTGATCGGTAAAAATCCGACTGGGCGAGTATAAACAACTTGAAGACCAACTCGGAAGGGATCTCGTTAACCATAAGGTCGGCGTTTTGAAGACCCCCACTATTTTTCTTCATTTTTAAAAGAGTTCGGAATTCGGTCGATCTCATTGATCACCAACAATATTAAACTTGGAATTATTTGAACTATTCTTCATGAGATCGGAATTAGGACGACCTCATCGTTCAACAATATTTTTTAATTCGGAATTACTTTCCTAATTTTTAAGGAGACCAGAATGTCTCATTCATTATTGCGATCGACATAAAGGCAACTACCTGGTTCGGTATTTCAACTCTAAACTCATAAAATTATTCTCATTCACTATCGTGATCCGCGTATCAGCGATTACCCGATTCAAAATATTCAACTTTGCACTTACAAAAAATTCTTATTGATCATTAAGATCGGCATATGGGCGATTGCCTTTTCAATATGACAAGTTTCTAACTTAGAGATTTTTTCACTCATTTTTTGAGGTCGGCGTATGAGATTGGCGTATGGGTGATGTCCTTTTTAAATATGACAAGTTTTTAACTTAGAAATTTTTTCACTCATTTTCGTGGTCGGCGTATGAAATCGGCGTGTAGGCAACATCCTTTTCAAATATGACAAGTTTTTAACTTAGAAATTTCTCGCAAATCCATTCTCGATATCTCCAAAAACAGGGGCATAATTGAAAACAATAAGCCTTGCATAGTTCATAACAAAAGGGGGAAAACAAACAATAGAGCATAGTTCATTGGAAAGTAAAGAGACTACAAATAACCAGCAATTTTAATCGTCCTCGGGAGGATCCACCAACTCCCCGTTATTAACTTTGGTAACAGGCGCCGCCACGTGGCACGTGTACGGTCTCGACCTATTTCCGATACGATTCATAGGAGCGGTTGCTTAAGCCCTTTCACCTTTTAGGCTCAGGGCTAGAAGGCAAGTGTACCGTCTCGGCCTATTTTCGATACGATTCATAGGAGCGGTTGCTTAAGCCCTTTCGCCTTTTAGGCTCAGGGCTAGAAGGTAAGTGTACCGTCTTGGCCTATTTTCGATATGGGCGTGGGAAAAAGGACCGAGACCCATGTCACCCTGCCACGAGGGGTCACTCGGTAAAGGACCGATCCTATTTTGTAATACGGGTGAGCCCGATTAGAATATGACCCGACCACCCTCACAGGAGTTGTCTCGGTGAAAAGACCGACCTTATCCAACCAAGTGAGTTAGCCCGGCCTGGGTATGGTCGGCCAGGGTGTGCTCGACCATGGTGAGATCGGCCAGGCTGCACTCGGCCATGGTGAGATCGGTCAGGCTGTGCTCGGCCAGGATGTGCTTGGCTGATGTGAGATCGACTAGGCTGTGCTCGACCATGGTGAGATCGGTCAGGGTGCGCTCGGCCATGGTGAGATCGGCCAGGCTATGCTCGACCATGGTGAGATCGGCCAGGCTGCACTCGACCATGGTGAGATCGGCCAGGCTGTGCTCGGCCATGGTGAGATCGGCCAGGGTGTGCTCGACCATGATGAGCTCGGCCAGGGTATGGTTGGCCAAAGTCCGAGTGGGTCTCACCCTTTGGACTAGTCCGAGAATCAAGGATGAAAAGCCTATCTTTGATAATCAAATATTCCTAAGGAAAACCGTTATGGAAATTCTCGCACTCACAAGGCCCAGGTGGCCCATGAATAGAAAAGTATAAAACCTGAAACCCTAGAGTTAAGATGACAGATTACACTTTTGAATGCTCTGACTTTGAGACTTGATCTAGGAAAAAACCCTAATCCACCCTTTAACCGGAACAAGACCCATTTTTTAAGCAACGCATTCAACCTTTTTGCTTTGGTCCATAGTGCACATTGGTGTTTGAAATGGACGAGAAAGTTAGTGGTGTTATCAAATGGGCCTCCCTTGATCTTCCCATTCCTTACTGTTTCTTTTACAAAAATATTCTAACAAGGTTCCGTTGTTGTTTTTTTTTTTTTTGAAAAATAGATTCTGTTAATTTTCTAAAAAAATGGTATTTAATTCTGTTAAGCATTAATAACTCAAATTTTATGTGTTATTATTTTTTAATGCAAACAGAAATTATCTTTCGTCGTGTGAATATACTCCTAAGAGACTACTAAGACAAATAAAATCAAAAGGCACGAGAAGAAGCGAAGGAGAGTGCTGTAATGTTCCCCTGATACTAATATAAATTTCTCTGAATATATGTTGTGCGAGTATTTTTAAATATTTTTCTTAATTTTTCATCTATTTTAATTTATTTTCCAATTTTATATTAAATTTTAATATCTCTTAAAATATTATAATATAAATTATTTATAATAAATTTAAAATATGATTTATGCTAAAAAATTTATTGATTATAAATTTTAATTACAATTTATATGTTAAAAATATTTA